ACGCTAGTATGCCTCAAGGCCTCATTACTCACTTCTACAATATGAACCCCATGCTGGGATAAGTACAGAAAAACAGCAGGGAAGAAGAAAACAACAGGGCTAGTCCTCCGTCTCAGCCTTTCAGGTGGGTTTTTAAAGTCCACTTTGACTTTCTTTTCGGACGGTTGGGTTGATGTTAACTACCTCTGGCTTCGAAAGGGAAACATAATATATTTCATGTCAGAGATAAACAACTCACATTTTAATTTGAGACATTGAAAAATTATTAAGCATACTCTCTGGGATAATCACTGGAAAAAGCCCTTTACACTCATGTATTTAGGCTGCTGTAAATTGACAGCAGTCATGAAGAGCTTTTCTCATCATCGACCAATCACAGGCCACATTCGCTCATTCACAAAAGGCAGTTAAAAGAGTGTACGTGTGGACGAGCAAATGTGGCCTAACAGACCAAAGTCATTTGTCTGTTTGGGAATCTTTGAGTAGCAGCTTTGCTCGTTGTGGTGGGATTTCCGCTGGAGAAAGTGGGATGCTCTGTCTCTGCCCCTGGTGGAAGAGTTGAAGCATCTCGAGATCTGGTTCACACCAGCAGTGGACGGGCAAATTGTGGCTTCATCTTATCCGTTGTGGTAAAGAGTGAGTTTGTCTTTAATGTCCTAAACCACCTGTTTAAGGGCGGGAAGCAGTTCCAACAGGGAACACGCAGCTTGTGATGAAGGGTTTTATGGGCTCTTTTAAAGCAGTGGTAAATGTACTCATCATCCAGAGTGGAGAGGAGCTGCCGGTGGTGTTGGGCCTCATAGTGGGTGACAACATGTATGCAAAAAGTTGGTCAAAGCACTGAGAAACGCCGCTAAAAGTTTTGGCATAGAATTTTCTGCACATGTTTCCTTCAACAGGACAGGATGAGCCTCAGATCTGTCCATTCAACCATCCTATTGGCAGACAGCTGCCATGAGACAATGGCAACTTGATTCTTTTTCAAGCTTTAATCAGAATAAGTACAGTTAAACACAGAACTGACAAAGTATTTAATCCGTTTTCTAAGTTAAAATGAACAACTTGGAAGACTTTTTCAGGATGACAGGCACAAATATTTGTAAGAAAAGCCTAATATTCTTCAAATGAAGCCATACAAAACTGCTGTTCATAATCATTCAGAGACAAAAAGTAAAAGAACAAACAACATTAGATGGTACGTCTAACAGGGTTTGGCACCAGAAACCAGAACAAACTGTCAAACTGATACAGCTGACCGCCTTTATCCGTCTCCCTTCTCACCAAGTAAACAGAGCAAAACTGGACATTTGTGTTGACGTCCATGCAGCAGGGAGAGTCATTTGCTCTCATAATGTGAAGTGCCCAGAGAGAGTAAAAACAAAACCGGTGCCCAAAGTCTTTTCCACGAAGAGCTTAAGGCAAACACATGAAACACATTAGAATTAAGAAAACAGCCCGTTGAACTGACACATGCACAGTTTCCAAACCAAAACGCTGCCATGTGAGAAAACAAACCCAATCATTGAAAATACTTCTGATGTTCTAAACATTTTTTAAATATTTAGGCTTAGCAGAGCACGTCTTCGTCGTATTGAAACCATAAAACGGCGGGTACTCAGTTGCCTCATCATTTAATCCAGCTTTCAAAATGTTCTTTGCCTTTAAAGGTAAAGAAATGTAAAAGTACAACAATACTTTAGAAGCCCTAATGAAGCCCTAAAGTTTGCCTATAATGAGGAATGCTTTCAATTATACTTATTTTAAATCAAACTCTGCGCAAATGTTCATGAAAAACTACTATTTAAACTATGACAAGAGTAGTTTTTTAGTGTGGAGACTTACAAAACAAACTCAGCTTGTCTCTTTAAAGAATACTTCAGTGTAATTTTAGTGTTATTGTACTTTCTGGACAGACTGCTTACATTCTTTTTATTTCAAAGAAAATATTTCAGGTTATTTTCCAAATAAATCAGACGGTACGGCTCAAATCTGTCCATCATTCCCTCTATTTTACCTCTTAATTGTTACCACACTGCTCCAGAGCTTTCCCCATCTTCATTTAGAGCCTTCACAAATCACTTTCAAACTGCAAATTCTCCTCTTTTGAAAATGAAAACATTCACATAAGAATAGACAGTTTTAACAGGTGCTATGGTAACATAATTGTAACTGCGGCAATTACTGCCTTATGCCTGACTAACAGCCATAAATCACTCCTGCCTCACAAAGAGGACGTTGTGGTTGCTCTGCTCCCATCCAATAATCAGAAATTGCTCCGTGTACTTGGTGACGAGGGGGCGCTGAAACGGCCCATTCTTCTGTTTGGCGGCCGGCGCTTTTTCTCTCGGTGGCGACATTACAGGCATCCTTCAGCGGGCCCGATATTGTACCTGCTCGACACCTGTTAGCTTTAGCCGAGGGTTTCATCAGATAGTTGAAATAAATACTAGTCATCATCATAACCATAATCACAGTCATAAAAACCGGGGGGCCTTTATGCCGCTGCCAAATTGCCCTGCCATCTGATTTACAGTCCGACTTGGGCTTGGGAGGGGATGGGAGGAGGGCGGTGCCTATCATGTGCTCAGAGAGGAGTAAATACTCAAATATACACACCTGCAGACCACCCGTCCTTCTCTCTCTCACACACACACACACAGACACACACCTGGGAGCTCTTGCAGTAGATGGGAACAGGCTTTAGGGAAGAACTCAGAGGAATTCCCTGGGGATGACAAAGCTGGACATTGTGCTCCTCTCACACGCCAGGTGAGCACAACGATAAGGGGCCAGAGGACAAATTAGCCCTCATATTGAAATAATCCCCCCCCCCCCCCCAGGTCTAATAACAAGGATTTTCTCCACACTGAGGCGCCTGCGTGCTCACAGTGCTCTCTCTCCTCTGGAAAGCAGCTTGTTGAAAACAGATTTGAGTGTTTGTGAAATGTGGCTATCGTATCTACTCGGCCTGTCAACGGTCCTGAAATACACAGAGGTCAGAAACAACGGATGCCAATAGCTGCAGTAAGACGGCTGTTTGTATTAGCCTGAAATCCCAAACAGCTGGCTGATGCTTCAGGAAGGTCCCCGAAATCGGCGGAGCGACCAAAACAGTCGGACAGCTGAATCTGCACTCAAGACGCTAACGCTGAGAAAAGCACATGTCCCCGCTCGGTCCTTTTCCAAGAAGGAGACCCACGCTTTTATGAAAATCCAATCAGTTTTATTTCTGACGTTACATTCGGTGTGATCTTGGTGACTTATGAGCAGCACCATGCTGTGGGAGAGAAAAGATGATGTGTTGGAAGCACGGACGGCGGGGGGATTTCAGCGGCTCGGGGCTGCTTAAATTATGATGGTTACACAGCTGGGTCTTAGCGTTTCCACTGCCGCGGCTCTTTTGGGAAGTTCCCCCGTCTGCAGTGGTCGGGACATGCCAAAACTGGTCCGAGGAAGGAAAACCGGTGAACCGGGGACAGGGTCAAGGGCAGCCAGAGACTCCCTGAAGCCTGTGGGGAGGAGCTGGTGTGGCTCAGAAATGGGAGAGCTAACGCTACTTCCTGGGACTCTATCGGGTTTGTGCACGTGCAGACTGGTCAGGGTGCTCATGCTCAGGAGTGTCCAGCAGGGAGGAAACCCCTACAATGAGCATGTGGGAATCAGGAATGGTCCATGGAGCGATCGAATAGAATAGAAAATGTTTTATTCATCCCCCATGGGGGAAATTTAAAAGGTCACGTGATGTAGTTAAGCGTGCGTTCTTTTACAGCGTGTGGATCGAACATGGCGCTGGGACGCACTGTGGGAGGATTGCTGGCCAATAAAGGCGGCGTAATGCTATGGAAAGCATCCAGTTTGGAGACTTTGAGTGGGGCCATTCATGTGGAGGTTACTTTGAGATGAAACACCCACCTGAACACTTGCTTAAGAATCGTTTGTAGTGCGACTAGCTGTCCATATTTTCCAGGTCCAAGTCCAACTGAGCCTGGATGGGACGTGCTGGACAAACAGGTCTAATCCATAGAGCTCCCGTCTCCCACAGCTTGATGTCACAGTTTGTGTCAGTGGAGCCTGGAGAGGTAACCTTTGAGGGCTAAAGAGGGACGTGCTCCACACAAGCCGGGTGAGTGATGTCATGACTGGCTGACTCAGCACGTCCAGAAAAAAATGAAAAAGCTGCGGAACAATAAGCAGCCAAATGCGTTCAGGTATTTATTCGTCAGATCAAATACTGCCACATCTGTCGGGACATGATCGGCACTTATCTGTCTACCACAAAGCCACGAACCAATCAGCTCGCTGGAACGGATTTAAAACAAAACGTAAGGTTTCCGTCGGTTTTTGCCGTTGCATTTGTTCAAAAGCTGGGCGGCTTTGAGCATAAAGAGCACATTAATGGAATGGAAGAAGCATTTCTGATGTGTGCAAAATTGAAAAATGGTAAGATGAACAAATAAAACGCAACCAAGACGAAACAGATTGGAGAGTTTTCACATTTTGAGCAGGTGTGCTTTTTCTTATGGTGTAAATTACCCCCCAAAAATGAAGCCTTTTCTGCCATCTTTGTGTTATGATATAAAGTAATCCTCTTTGACTCTTTAAATAAAGAAATCTAAAAAGATATACATCAAGACAGACTTTCAGGCACTTAAAAAGTGTTATCAAACTTAAAGCAGAGAACACAGTCGTACATCATAAAGCGTCTTAAGGCCTCAGTCTTTAGTGTTTTACACTGACATGGAACTATTTCATTTAAAGGCATTCGATGTGAAACTAGCCAAACTGGGCACAAAGAGCTGAAATTCTAACCAAGTTCAACAAACAAAAAGCCCTCTTTTTAAAGTGGCCTCAGAACCACTTGTGATGCCTGCAGAAAACTCTGCTTCCCATGGTGTTCCACCAGGATGGAAAAGCCCCTCAGCTTTAAAGGCGGGAGCTTTTCATGAGGAGGAGAATGAGCCATAGGTTTGGAAATAACTTTTCTCCCGCCACGGTCTCTTTCAGGGCGGTTTTGAGGGGTTCTGCATTCGCTGGCGTCTCCTGGCCAGCGCCTCCTGTTTCTTCCTCTCGATCTCGGCAGCGGAGCACTTCCCGGCCCTCTGACCTGTGACGAAAACTAAGAGGGGGAAAAGGAAAATGTGGCAGTTTAATGTAAACGCTGAGGTTGGTTAGATCATTGTGGGCTGGGAAGGCTGGGAACGAGGACCTGAGGATACCGAGAGGAGAAAAAATAGGGGACGTTTCCACAGAAAGTGACAAGTAAGCTTCCATTCACGATGAGTCTGAGGGTAGATCAGTCAAACAGCAAAGATCCACAGTGATAAACAACATCTTTACTTAACTAAAAGAGAAAACTGTCTTCGGGCTCCTCAGATACAGACAGTTGGGTTTAATTTAGTAGAGAACTGTATTAAACGCATGCTAATTTTCCTTAAAGCTTTTCAGTTTTTTTGCAAACAAGCATCATTAGATAAAAACTCAGAGGTTTTTCTCTTTGAATGCCACAGCTGTGGGAGGCTGCAGACGCTCCCACAGGGAGCTCTCTGCCTGTTTCAGATCCTTAATTCACCCCTTGGAGTCAGCCTGACGTCAGCAGCCACAGCGATTGTAATTAGCCTGACCTCAACATCTCGGGGTCATCTGGGGTCATCCCACGAAGAGCGAGAGCCTGCCTGAGGGAACTTTTCTAAGCCCTCTTTATACCAAACAAATTACACTTTTTCTTGTTATTTGATAGCTTCCTCTCTTCACGGTTACATTTACATGGCATATTCTTACCTTTGTTGCTAATGATTGCAGAGTCGGACACATTTCGCTTAAAGGCCGTGTGGTGGGACTTAAATCTCTGCGGTCCTCCGGCTGTCGTGTCCGCGTTATTATTTCCAGCCTGGAAAGTTCCGGAGGCGTCCCCGCGCTGGTTAAAGGCCCCTACACTCAGGCGGCTTCCCGGGAAGCTCTGAGACATCCCTGACTTGCTGCTGGCACCTTTCATGGGAATGTTCCACCCTTGGTAGCTCGCAGCTCCACAGCCAGTCCCCGGTAATGAGTTAGAACGGACAAAGGCCCGCTCAGGCGGTCTGCTGGCGCTGGCACCGGCACCGGCCTTAATGGAGGCGGCTGGCAGAGGCCCGGTGCTTTTCTTTTGTCCGTCCGCAGCCCCGTCTCGCTGTTGCTGGCGGTCGCCGGGGCTCCGGCTGTTGGAGGTCCTCTCCACGCAGTCGCATGCCTGATAGAGCAGCGCATCGTCATCCCAGTCGTCCCATAGGCTGTCCGGGATGCCCTCCCTTTGATTGTCAGTGACTTTGTCGGGGTGGGGAGAGGCTGTGGGCTTCGGGCCGGCCGTATTTGCTTCGGGCCGTGCGGCGCTGAGGCTGGTTTCTGACGCGTCTTTGGACCAGCTGGGCCGGAAGCGAGGGTTGGGCTCTAACTTGAAAGTGCTTCGGCCGGTCGTCTTTGGCTCGGGACGCTGCTCCCGGTGCGTGGTGGTCCCGCGGTGCTGGCCCGAGGGCTGAGGTGCGGGGTCTGTGTCTCCAGCTTGCTCGCAAACAGAGGTGAAGCGAGCGGGGCCGGCCTCCGGGTCAGGCCGAGACGCGGCCTCAGGCCCCGCACCGGGCGCCTCGTCCAGGTTCTGGGTCAGCGCCAGCTCCAGGGAGTCATCGAGGAAGTCGTCGTTCTCCCAGTCGTCGTAAAAGCCGCCGCAGCTGGTTCCTTGTGGCTCTGCGGGGGGGTCACAGTGTCCGGCCGTCTGGAGCCCCGACTGCCGGCGTCCCACTGAAGCGCGAGTGGCAGCTTGGTCTTTTATTTCTTGTGAGTCGGCAGACGCCCCGCTCAGCCCTCCGCTGACCGCCTGAGTGGAGCAGTCAAACAGAGCCCGCAGCTCCGCCTCGGCCTGACCCGAACAGCTCGGGCCCTTAGGTTCCCTCACACTTCCATCAGCTTCAGAGGCCGTTTTCGCCTTTTCGTCGAGGTTGTTTTTGACTGCATTCCGCTGGTCGGAAGTCTCCTCATCCTGTTGCATGTTTTCATCAAACTGCCTGGCCAGCTTCATGAGGTCATCCACACTGCTCTGCCTGCACAGTTGGAAGGAAAAAGGACACCGTCATTGAGAAAAACCCGTTTGCTTTCTGTCTTCGTGGCCGTAACCCATTCGCTTTCAGCCACCGGTTACAGACCTAGAGGATCTCTTCCTGACTCTTGGCTTTGGGATCTCGGGCGTGCAAGGGGCCGCGCTGTCATTGATCCACTGCAGCATGGAGGATTCTTTCGGCTTCACGTTCTGTAAAAGAAATAAGCTCCAAGTTGGGAAACATTTGTAAAGTTTGACCTCAAAATAACACGATCAATAAGTCTGATGGTGAATTGAACATTTCAGTAAAAAAAGACAAAGCAGTGACTGACCTTTGGAGCAATGCGGTCGACAATGTCTGATATTTCCACGATTCTGGTGTTCCTCTGTCCTGATAAAAGGGAGGGGGGGCGAATAAAGTGGTACGAAATAAATATAAATAGCAGAAGTAAAGTAGCAGCGGGCGTCTGATGAACCTGTCATTCAGAAGAGTCAGCGGCCTGTCTGTTTGGATATGAATGTGTTATTTACCAGCCCGGGTGGGAGATGTGGAATCCCAGATGATATCTTGTGAAGTTTCCGCATCTCCGGGGGAATCTCCAGCGTTCAAGCCCAAGTATCTGCCCCCGCCTCTGCGTCGGGGACTCAGCAAATCTGTCCAAACAGTTTTCAGGTGTGACTCAGTGCTGCTTTATTCTGCAAGGTTTTTTCTTTGGTATTGTATCTACATTAAAAAACATGACCTAAAACCTCCTCCCATTTTCAGAAGTCTGAGGAAAATTATTCCCATGCTTGGTATCACTGGATGCAATTCAGCAGCCCTTCCATGCATAAAACATCATAAAAGATGTTTCCAGGCCTCTATGTTTATGGGAATAGAGGAGAAACTATGTATATTTAACATGAAATAAAAACACAAAATCATGTGGGACATATCAGCAGAACTGACACAAAAACAGCGTCTTATCCTGAGGTCAGAAAGTTTACTTTAGCTGAAGTGAGACAGCTAAACTAGTCTGGTATCACAGTCTGGTTGCTTTGATAATGAGCCTTCGTGGGTTCAGTTTACGGCGTACGGAGCTCATGCTGTCTCCTCACCGTTACACAGTGGAGATGCCATTGTGGCAGGCGTCCGTGGTCCCGTTTTCCCGTCGTGTGTTTTGTTGTGGTGCAGCTTGGAGACACTCCTCCACAGCTCAGAGAAGCCGGCGGCGGCTGCGGCATCTGTCCGCCGCTCTGACATGCCTCCCCGCTGGAGCAGAACCGGCGAAGGGCCGGCCTAACATCGTCTCTTTAAACGGTCTATGTCGTGGCCCATAGCTTTAAACGTCTACATCCACAGGTCCTCTGTTGTGTTTTTGTCTTTCGCACACTCTTTCGTTCATTCATTCGAAAAACGCCGCCATGTTTGTGCGTGACGCCAGCGAACTACGGGTGCCGGGAAGGATTCAGAGCCCTTCAGCAGGCGACGGACCGAACAGCTCACGTGATGTACACAGGGGGCTGACATATTATATTATATGGGAATATTTTAGGAAATCAAAATATAAAAATTTCTATAATGACATACGGTTATTAATGTAAGAGAATGTTGCATAAACAATAATGTCCATTTCTATTTCTTTTCTCCACTGCAGTTGTTTGGAATCAAAAGTTCACCGGATGACTGGACTCATTAAACTGTCCTCTCCTAAACAAGGACCGTGGATAGACTTGAAATCGATCTGTAGATTAGATTTAATACGTTTGAAAATAAAATAAATGAAAGTAGCAGTAACACTTGTGTTGTGAAGTGAATGCAGCTCCAGGTCTGGGTTTCCAGTAGGTGCTTTTAGTCAAGGGAGGAAACGTTGGCCGCTCTTCTCTTTTCGGACGTCATGTCATTGAATCTTACTGAAGGTCTGCTCAAATGTCAAAGACGTGTCAGTTTTACTGTTTCAGTGAAAGCATTGAAGTTTTGTCTGTGTTTTCCAAACACCTGGAATCTTTTGCACATGTCCACAACGCTCTCAGAAATGGTTTAAAAGCATGATCTTCTTAAAAATGAAAAGCATCAAGTGCTGTTGAAAATGTGTGTTGGGTAACCAGCGAGCAGCTGTCAGACACTGAAAGCTATGCTGGCTTCTCTGCTGTTGAACGGACTGTGATTGATGGTGGGACCGTTGCTTCGACATTTGTTTTCGACAGTTCCAGTATGTGTTTTTCGAATACCAGGAGAGTCTCCTCTTTTAGCCCAAGACTGATGTGACATGGAGAGACCCATCCTACCAATGAAGCATCCTTGATGTAGGGAAACACTCGGCGTCATGAAGCTCATTCACTTCGCACTGAGGTACATCACCGTGGCAACTTGTGTCGGAAACCGAACCAGCTCGGGTTTATGGATAAGAGATCAGCAAATGTGAAAGCACTATTTCCCAGAAAAAAAGTGTTCTCCTAGAAAATGCAAAAAGACATCAGTGCATGGGCCCTCGGAGTTTTTCTGGTTTCTTTTGTCTTTTCTGAACTGAACCATTCTGAGACTCTCGTCTTGGATTTGGATGGCGGCTGGTTATGGAATTCATATTGTTAAATGAATCCTTTAGAATTACCTAAGGTCTCTCCTTTGAAACAATTCACACACTGGAGTAAATCCCACTCTGATGAGGATCGCAGTTGGAATCAACATTACAGTAATAATCAGATAATACCAGACTCACTAACTTTGATAAAGTCACTGTGAAAATATGACTTAACCAAAAACTTGGTAATACTTACTGCATCTCACTTGAGTTCTTAATATCTCTAACACTCAAACACTTTCCATCCTTTTCATACTGATGACATTTTAAGGGGCTCTTTTACATGAATTCCATCTATAAAAAATGCACTGGTTGCACTGGTTTAATTTCTACTAAATATTCCACTTTATTAATTTGAATCAGGTAAATTCTGGATCATATTAGTCTTCTGCAATGACAAAAGTAACATAATAGTCTTTCTTTACACTGAAAAACTACATGATGTGGAAGACCACTCATTCTGGTAAGTTAACCTTGTTTGAAATTCTTAACATTACTTCAGTTTTTCTGTAAAATATTGATGCCCAAACCCCTTCAGATCCAGTCTCAGGGAATGCTTGACGCTTAGATTTTTTCATTATACTTATGTAAGCTGCACTTTGGATCATTCCTGGCTTTCATAATCCTGAATGCCATCTTATGAGTCAGGTTATGTCTTAAGAGAGAGGTTTAAATGCGTCAATGAAGCAGCTGTGATCAATTAACATTTCTGATTGCCGTCGCCAGGTCTCAGATGTAACATTAAGCCATTTGAAGCCAAAACGTTCTTTAGATGCTGAGAAGAAATGAAAAATGATCAAGTCTTTTTTATTTTTTAATGTAATAATCGTAAGCTGTCGTTCTGTACGGTTATTGCTGCTGACTGCAACAACCTTTTGTACTGTTCTGTATAAGAAGCCTCTCACTATACCGAGTAAGGTCAGCAAGACTAAAAAAAAAATCAATTCACACGTGTAATTATTAGTTAAGCAGGATATAGAAGTCTTTATTCCCACTATTACTCTGTTCTTTTGAGAGTTGTTAGAGGTAGAGCTTGAGTTCAGCTTGGACTTGTGTTGATTTTGGCTGTTGTTTGGCATTGCCTTTGCCAGTCAAAATTATTATCATTCTTTTCTAGAAGTCATAGTTTTATGTGCTTATATCTATGATTGGCTGGAGATCCACAGATTTTTAACAATTTGATGAGTAAACTTTCAAAAGTGAAGCCTTTCCTTTGCCCATTTCACATTCAGCTAGCGAAAGTGTATCCTTCCAGATAAATCCCCGCATTGTTGAAACTTCTCCATGTTTTCATCATTACCTTCATCATCTATCTGTGAAAGCTGAGGCTACATGAAGGATAGCACTTTGCTTTATTGAACTATGTCATACACATGCAAAAATGTAGCGGGAGACATCATTTGGGGTTTTCACCAAGAAATACATGACACTTTATTAATATGTGGTTTATAGTGAGACATTTCATTCGTATTGGTGGAAGGAACCTAGTGATGTGGCAGAAAATCACTGAAATTTAGAGATTTTTTTTTTTGTGTTTGTTTTGTGGCGAGGCAGCTGGATAACAAATCTCACACATGGGTCAAATTTCTTCTGAACCAATGAAAAACAGAGGGAGAATATTGTCAAACACAGTAGAAGTGTGTAGTTAGAAATGATTATTGTGCATGTTTCTCATTTCCATCAACACAGGTTTGCTGAAAACGGTTGGCCTGAATCTAATTTTGTTCTATTAACCCCCGAGATCCATCTTTAAGCTTTCGGTTTTGAATGTTAGCTTTAAAAAATGCTCTCAATGGAGAATAAATGAGGGATTCTTCTACTCGTATTTAACATTCCGCAGAGCAATTTCCAGAAGAAAGCACTAGATGGTGCTTGTATACCTCCTTGATATTTAGTGTGTGCGTTTCTTTCTCTTTGCATGTGTGCGTACGCGTGTGTTGTAGGAGTTTCGGTAACTGAAGTCATTGCAGAGTGGATGCAGACTTTGCAGGCTGCTGCCCGAGCCGTATTTTGCAGCAGACAACGCAGGCACACATCCACTCAAGCTGCAGCGAATTACCATGTCTGATTATACATGATTCTGCTTTGATTGTTTTCATTTGGAAGCAGTTTATCAGTATGGAGAAATTGGGAAGCCAATCAAGTGCATTTCTTTGATTGAGAGCCAGAAAATGCTTTAAACAGATGACCTGGAGTTAAAGCTTTGACTCGGCGTAATTCTTGTTTCATCAAAACATCAGCAGATATTTAGGCACCTGTAATGATAAGATGAAGGATGAATGGGGGGGGGGGGGGGGGGGGGGGGGTTTGGGCAAAAGCAACACGTGTTTTCTCTGAGGCACAAAATGCTGAAAGATTAAAACATTAAAGTGCCGCAGATTATCCAAATGGAGGAAGATTGAAATAAATGTTGTGTGGATGAACAAACACTCAAAAAACACAAAAAGAGAGAAAAGCACGGCTGGGTGGCACTACGAGCAAACATTTGATTCCATTAGTGTGAAACAAAAAAGTCAACAGCTCTGATATAATTAATAAACAGAAATAATGTGTTGAAAGGAAAAATATCTCATTCTAAAGAATTATTAAATGAAGATGACTTAAAGCATATAAGCAGAAATAATATCTTTGAAACTGGTTAAAATGACGAGTCAATGTAACTCGTTCCTCCTTTGTTTGAAACAAAGAAACAAACTGTTTTCCTCACCGATTTAATTCCTTCTTTAAAGAAACACACAGAACAGCAAATTTCTGCCTGAAGGCCATTGTTATGTTAGTGGCGTAGCCGCTGTCAATGTTAAAGAGGTTAACTGGAACTGCCAGTATGGATGTAACAGTGATTTAATCAACAGTTAGCTACGTTTCATGCCTGCCCTTAATGCATTCAGCTAATCTTGGGGGTATCCCCATTGCTCTGTCAAGCGAGCTGTGTCATATCACGCTGCAGCGAAAATCCACACCCGGGGGGCGCGGTCGCCCGCCCGTCTAAAAGTCACCGTAACACCCTCTGTCACACTGAATGTTAGCCTTTCTCCCAAGTGATAGTTAGACCACAGAATAAAGGGCATGGCTGTGCCAGGTTGAATTTGAATATGAGCCATCAGGCTGCCTCGTGCTTTTCCATCTCTCTCCTCCTCCGTGTCAGGGCAGGGAACAAAAAAACAACCCCAAAAAAAAAAAACATAGCCCCGGGCTCCACAAGGAGGAGAGGGAGAGGACCCTTCTCCAAGCCTGTCTGATTCCTTCCCAGAAGTCTGTCCCGCCACCAAGCTACCGTCTTCTATTTATTGGTTACGCCTGGGTTGTTTAGAGGCAATTAAGGAGATAATTGTTGAGATTTCTGAGGACTGGGTATTATAGTAAAAAGTAAAGAGCTAATGGCTAATTGCCCAAGCAGCTGCTTGTGTTTATGAACCAGGAGCGAACATGCCAGGGGACCCACCAGGCACAGGCAGCAGTGACAACGGGGGTGTGTTTCTGTGTGTGTGTGTGTGTGTGTGTGGCGTACGGGAGGCTCAGCATAGCTGTGGATCTCGGGGACGGCTCATCCTGGGCAGCTGCCAGTTGTGCGAGACAACGTGGAGAGTAAAAGCTCGGCTCCGAAAAAGTGCGCATAAATAATCGTCCCCTTTGATGGCCTGTGGTGCAGCATCTCCGAGGAGTTCGGTGTTTGCATGTGATGGGTATATCCCAATGTTTATCACACCCCTATCCGTCCAAACCACCCCCCCCTCCCTCCCTCCCTCCCTCCACCCGTTCTGCCAGACCCCCTTTGGGCTCGCACTGCCTCGTGGATGACAGTTAGCATGTGGCGGAGCTCTCTGAGGTGGAAGGGATCCAGGCTGCTGGGTTACTGTGCCAGCTCCACCAAGCTGGGATTTCAGCCGCATTTCACCATGTCTGCCAATGGCTGGGT